ACGTCATGTTGTATCTGTATGTGAGCAGCTAATGCCTGCTGGGATCGTGGGGGATATAGGGCTCTACGAGGTTAACGTTTGGCCTGAGTGGCTGTTAGGGCTGCTAACTTTGGAGAGCTATCAGCTGTGTGCCTGATTATACAAGAGTGCCTTAAAAAACTCGTTACCTCGCGATTCTATCTGCAGAGTGCTATAGAACAATTCGCTACCTTGTGATTCAACCTGACACTAGGACTGGAAATAATGTTGCATAATGTTGGTAGACACACAAAGGTATATAGCCAGCTGTTTCATAGCATACCGCATAATACAACTGACCAGCATCTTACTGACCTATAGCCAGCTGTTCCATAGCATACCGCATAATACAACTGACCAGCATCTTACTGACCTAAAGCCAGCTGTTCCATAGCATACAGCATAATACAACTGACCAGCATCTTACTGACCTAAAGCCAGCTGTTCCATAGCATACCGCATAATACAACTGACCAGCATCTTACTGACCTAAAGCCAGCTGTTCCATAGCATACCGCATAATACAACTGACCAGCATGTTACTGACCTAAAGCCAGCTGTTCCATAGCATACCGCATAATACAACTGACCAGCATCTTACTGACCTAAAGCCAGCTGTTCCATAGCATACCGCATAATACAACTGACCAGCATCTTACTGACCTAAAGCCAGCTGTTCCATAGCATCCAGCATAAAACAACTGACCAGCATCTTACTGACCTAAAGCCAGCTGTTCCATAGCATACCGCATAATACAACTGACCAGCATCTTACTGACCTATAGCCAGCTGTTCCATAGCATACAGCATAATACAACTGACCAGCATCTTACTGACCTATAGCCAGCTGTTCCATAGCATATAGAATAATACAACTGATCAGCCACCACTATCGTACAAAAGAACAGCTGACCATCTCAACAAAATATCAATCATTGGCTTACATTTGACAGTTTAATAATTTTAAAAAATCACTTTACTTAAAATAAAAATATTAACCACCCATTTGCATAAAAAAACAAATGCCAAAATGTTTTATGAACAATCCTAATTTAAAACCCATCAACATGGTTATCGTAAAACAAATCAATAACCTTTAAAGAAAACAAACCCCTCGCCCGATATTTTAATGATGTTATGTTAAATCTCCTAAAGCAAAACTACAATACCAGCTAGCAATACAGATTGGCGACCACAGAATGTTGCCTAAAAAAATGAAAGAATCGATGAAGCTGATCACAGACTACATTTATTTATTCAGTCAAATCGAACGCGTCACCGCACGGAGCGTTTGCCAGCGAGCGTTGGGGCCTCTTTGATCTGTCGCGACGACTTGATGAAACACTCGCCAGTGCGCATGCGCAGTGCTGGTTTTGTCGTCTGGCCAGGTAGAGCAAATGTACTCGGAAATTAAACTGGTGGCACAGTACACGTTCATTTGGTTGTTGTTCACCTCTATTTACATTTCTCTCTTTATTTGTGTTTCAAATTAAGCTCTTACGAACCGTTATCTACATATATAAATAAATAAATAAATAAATATATATATATATATATATATATTTATATATATATATATATATATATATATATATATATATATATATATATATATATATATATATATAAAACTGTATAAATGTATATATATATATATATATATATATATATATATATATATATATATATATATATATATGTGTGTGTGTGTGTGTGTATGTATATAGGAGAGAGAGAGAGAGCGATAAAATTACCTCTATATAAAAATATTAATGTATATAAATAAATATATGTATATGTGTGTGTATATGTATATGTATATAGAAGAGAGAGAGAGATATATATATATAAAACTATCTCTATACATAAATATGTATGTATATACATGAATAAATAAATAAATAAATAAATAAATAAATAAATAAATAAATAAATAAATAAATAAATAAATAAATAAATAAATAAATAAATAAATAAATATATATATATATATATATATATATATATATATATATATATATATATATATATATATATATATATATATATATATGATTGTTTGTCTAGCGTTTGAAAGCCAACTGCCATATAAAACGCTAGCCATAAACCAGGTAACATTAGATTCTCGCTAGACGTTCTCCTGGTTTTTAAGTGTTTTTCCCCCATCTAGTGTTGCACTCCCACTTGAAATACGACACTATCGATTGTGCTGCTGAAAATGTTTCCATTCAAAGAATAAATAATTTCCCTGGGGGTCTATAGTTTCCACTGTCATAAATCATTACACTCAAGTGATTATTGTCGTGTCTTTGTTAAGGAATTGGGGTTTGGAATTCACAAGAGTTTACAAGAATTTAATGTTATTTAGAGTTGTCGTGTTGAGTGGTATCTAAATCTGAATAGTCTCTGACTTAAATAACATACAGCAACTATAAAACCCAATATTGCATAGCTAACAGGTCTAAACAAGACTGACTATAACTGTAACATGTTCCAACACTGACCATTACTCTAACATTTCCTAACACTGACCACTACACCAACACATCCAATACTGACCACTACACTAGCTGACACTTACCACTACACCATCCAACACTGACCATTACTCTAACATTTCCTAACACTGACCACTACACCAATACATCCAACACTGACCACTACACCAACACATCCAACACTGACCACTACACCAACACATCCAATACTGACCACTACACCATCCAACACTGACCACTCCACCAACACATCCAACATTGACCACTACACCAGCTCACACTAACCACTACACCCTCCAACACTGACCACTACACCATCTAACACTGACCACTACACCAACTAACACTGACCACTACACCCTCCAACACTGACCACTACACCAGCTCACACTAACCACTACACCATCCAACACTGACCACTACACCCTCTAACACTGACCACTACACCATCTAACACTGACCACTACACCATCCAACACTGACCACTACACCCTCTAACACTGACCACTACACCATCTAACACTGACCACTACACCATCTAACACTGACCACTACACCAGCTAACACTGACCACTACACCAACTAACACTGACCACTAAACCAGCTAACACTGACCACTACACCATCCAACACTGCCCACTACACCATCCAACACTGCCCACTACACCCTCCAACACTGACCACTACACCAGCTAACACTGACCACTACACCCTCTAACACTGACCACTACACCATCCAACACTGCCCACTACACCATCCAACACTGACCACTACACCAGCTAACACTGACCACTACACCAGCTAACACTGACCACTACACCATCTAACACTGACCATTACACACTCTAACACTGACCACTACACCAGCTAACACTGACCACTACACCATCTAACACTGACCACTACACCAGCTAACACTGACCACTACACCAGCTAACACTGACCATTACACACTCTAACACTGACCACTACACCAGCTAACACTGACCACTACACCAGCTAACACTGACCACTACACCAGCTAACACTGACCACTACACCAGCTAACACTGACCACTACACCAGCTAACACTGACCATTACACACTCTAACACTGACCACTACACCAGCTAACACTGACCACTACACCAGCTAACACTGACCACTACACCAGCTAACACTGACCACTACACCATCTAAGACTGACCATTACACACTCTAACACTGACCACTACACCAGCTAACACTGACCACTACACCATCTAACACTGACCACTACACCAGCTAACACTGACCACTACACCAGCTAACACTGACCATTACACACTCTAACACTGACCACTACACCATCCAACACTGACCACTACACCAGCTAACACTGACCATTACACACTCTAACACTGACCATTACACACTCTAACACTGACCACTACACCATCCAACACTGACCACTACACCAGCTAACACTGACCATTACACACTCTAACACTGACCACTACACCATCCAACACTGACCACTACACCATCCAACAATGACCACTACACCAGCTAACACTGACCACTACACCAGCTAACACTGACCACTACACCAGCTAACACTGACCACTACACCATCTAACACTGACCACTACACCATCCAACAATGACCACTACACCCTCTAACACTGACCACTACACCATCCAACAATGACCACTACACCCTCTAACACTGACCACTACACCATCTAACACTGACCACTACACCAGCTAACACTGACCACTACACCAGCTAACACTGACCATTACACACTCTAACACTGACCACTACACCAGCCAACACTGACCACTACACCAGCTAACACTGACCATTACACACTCTAACACTGACCACTACACCAGCTAACACTGACCACTACACCATCTAACACTGACCACTACACCAGCTAACACTGACCACTACACCATCTAACACTGACCACTACACCATCTAACACTGACCATTACACACTCTAACACTGACCACTACACCAGCTAACACTGACCACTACACAATCTAACACTGACCACTACACCAGCTAACACTGACCACTACACCAGCTAACACTGACCACTACACCATCTAACACTGACCACTACACCAGCTAACACTGACCACTACACACTCTAACACTGACCACTACATTAACTAACCCATCCAACACCGTCCACTACAACAACTAACCCATCCAACACCGCCCACTACACCAACTAACCCATCCAACACCGCCCACTACAACAACTAACCCATCCAACACCGCCCACTACACCAACTAACCCATCCAAGACCGCCCACTACACCAACTAACCCATCCAACACCGCCCACTACACCAACTAACCCATCCAACCAATCTCCCCAGCTAACACTGACCACTACACCATCCAACACCGCCCACCACACCATCTAACCCATCCAACACTGACCACTACACCAACACAACTAACACCGCCCACTCCACCAACTAACCCATCCAACCAATCTCCCCAGGTAACGGCTACATTGAAGGCTCCGAGCTGGATCAGTTCCTGTACGAGCTGGTGACAAGTGTCAACACACAGGATGTCGGACCTGAGGTAAGACTTAGAGCTTAATCAGCTTAATGAGCTAAACGCTGGGCCATCGGACCTGAGGTAAGACTTAGAGCTTAATGAGCTTAATGAGCTTAACGCTGGGTCATCGGACCTGAGGTAAGACCTTTAAAGCTTAATGAGCTTAATGAGCTTAACGCTGGTCCATGGTCAGGCATACACTATTCGTGGGATACACAGGTTATACGCTGGACATCTGAGATCTCAAGATGTCGCCTACACCAAGTGGGAAGTATCACAGTTATTAGCACTACCTGAGTACTACCACCACTCTGTACATCCACTACAATCCTTAAGATATCTTAGTGTACCCTACAAGACGAAAAACTGTAGTGTTTGCACTACCCGACTACTGCCACCAATATGTACATTCACATCTTTACCAAAAAAATTACAACTATTTACAAATCAGAATCTTGATATTAAATTAATAAAATTTCTTATAGAAGAATAACAATACAGACTAGTGAAGCGTTACATAAATTTGTTTATATGTTTTTAACAAACTGAAGCATGGCCGAGTGCCATTTCTAAAGTGCTTTGAAAAGCCTACATCACCTTAACCTAATCGTCTCGCACTTTCACAAGAGAACTCGTCAACTAGAAGGTTGAATTCACCAGCGTCTATTATCCTCCACCCACCCCCATCAATACAACACCACCTTACATGCCCCACCCGTCTCTAACCTCAGCTATCCACACCATTACAACATTCCCCTGACTTTTTTTCTCTGAGTAAACAATGACAAGTATTTCTCAGTCATTTTAAAATGTCTTAGCAGGAAACATTGTAATATTTTCAGAAACCAGACAGCATCAACATCAACACTTAACCCACACAGCAACATCCTCAACCCACCCAACCACCCCACACCCACATTAACATCCACATCTACCCCAAAAAGCAATATCCCCAACCCACCCAACCACCACACACCCACACAGCTACATTCCCAACCCACCCAACAACCCCACACCCACACATCAACATCCACATCTACCCCAAAAACAAACATCCCAACTACCCCACATATCAAAATCCCCAACATCCCCTCACATAAACATCAACACCTACCACCCACGGCAACATCCCCACATTTATATCCTTACACATCTTTACACATCCGCACACTCCCCTCCACTCAATCCCACCACCACACCCGGTCCCACCCACCTCCCCCACACCCCACACTACCACCACACCCACCCTTCCTGTAATTGCTCCTCTTGTAATGCCCTCTCTCCTAGCGATGCCCGATCGTTACATAACCCAGGCTTACCACACAAGTACAAACTTCTGGCATTTCTCAGACAGGGCCAAGTACAGAGGCTAGTTGTGTACCCCCCCCCTCAGCCCGCAGAGAATATCTTCGATTGCCGACATCCCATAATGTCAACTCCTAAGCTGCTTTAGCTCCAGCTCTGCATCAAAGCCTTACAGCTTCTACACATAAAATGTCACTGAATGACATTTTATGTTTTGTCATTTTGTCATGGAAATCTATTCTTTCAGGGAGTCTACATTTGTTTTTCTATGCCCCGTTATTGTCAGTTAAATACCGAAATGGTCCATCAAAATAATATTTTATTTATTTTTGGATGCACTACTAGAAATATGTAATCAGTAAAGGCTGCACATAAAAATAAACTTTATGGAATAAGAGAACAACAGAAATTGTTCGATCAATAATTATTATGCACACAATTCCCCTCCACATCGTGAGTGTTCCCAATCTTTCAAACCATAAAAACTTTACCTTGTGGAGGGGTTTGAACTCAAGGGACTTAACTCCAGCTGTCGATAAATGTCAACAGGCAGTTACCTGAAACGTTTAACGAAATCTGAAAATAACAAACGTCCAGTTGCCTTCTACTGAAGTAAATTTTAAAAGTTTAAATAAACTGTTTTTAAATACTAACTTCATTATAAAAACGATGACTTAATATAACGATACTAGTTTGATTCAACTGTGTACTTTGTTTTCAGTATTTCTAATTTTGTTTTACACTAGCACATGATAAACGAAAAAAAAAATAACTGACCTGAATATCGTAAACTGTCCTAAATGATAAAAAAAACACAGGCTGCTGAGAAGGTACGGTAGGGTGAGGGAGGAGGGTTGGGAGAATTAAGGGATTGGAACTTAAAGACCCTGTCTGCCTAATTTCCTGTTATTATCAATAGCTTAAAATGTTAGAGAGAAACAGAGAAAAAGACGTCATTCATAAAGCGGAAGCGTTCATCGATTGGGCCTTTTGACGAAATCCTGTTGTGTTGTTCGCTTAGGCAATACACAGGAGAATTGCATGTTTGTGGGGTGTGGGTAGGGTGAGGTATGGGTGGGTGTGGGTAGGGGGGGGGGTGGTGGTAAGGGGTTGGTTTCAAGATTGTAATAGAAAGGTCAACTGGTATAATTACATTAGCCTAAGCTTAAAATGTTAGTCGTGTTAATGTTATAAGTTTGTAATTTGTAATAGAAAAGTCAACTCCTATATTGAGGGAAATTGCGTTAGGCTAAGCTTCAAATGTTAGTCGTGGTAATGCTAAAAGTTTGTAAGGTGTTTAGTTCAGCCTCTAGAATAGTCTAGAAATTAGACGTTTTGTTTTACAACGGTCATAAAGAGTGGATTGTGTTCATTTAGCGCTCAACCTGACAACGTTTTTATAACAGTACGTGATAGCAGAGATGAGGGGGGGGGGTTAAGTTAACGGTCTAATAATTAGTTTGACAGAGAAGTTTAGTGAGTTGTATTTACGATGCAATGTTTAGTGTTTTAGTGTTTTTGTATTAAGAATTGAGATATGAAGATTTTGTGTTTCTGTCAAGGAGTTGGGGATGAATTAGGGGCCTAAAAGTTAGTATTTTCGCAAAAAGTTTTGGGGATGATTTATGGTCTCAAATGACAGATTTTGGGATAAAATTAATGACCGAATATTTAAAGTTTTCAACACAGATTTTGGGATGAAATTAATGGTCTAACTTTTAGTGTATTTACGGCCTAGAGGGGACCTTAAATTATCGGTGTATGTGTGCTTGGTTGTGTGTATGTGAGGAATGAACAGTGCCTGTTATATTTGTCCTACTATTGTTTTTGTCCGTGATACTACTTGCTACTTTACGAAGAGCAAATGATTTCTGGTAAAAGCACAAAAAAATTGACCTTTAAATATTTTTTAGACTTAAACAAATTGGTATTTAAAAAATACCATTGCCCGGGGTCAGATACGTTATAATTGTGTTAAGTATATACCTGAAGTAAAGCTTGCGTGCACAAAATGTAAGCCAGTTGTTTGACCTACGATCTATGGGGATATTAAACACTGTTCAGACGCTGCCTTCTGAGGGGAGGTAATTTCTGCTTGATAGCAAGTGTAATTACGTCCCATTGCTGTGTAAATTAAGTTTGTTCATGCATTATGTCCCATGGGTAAAGTGAGTTACTTGCAGCCCTTAGCTGAAATTCTTTCCACTAAATCCACAACGTCTGTGGATTACATCACTGGTGTATGGTTGGTATAAAATGTTATCCGTCTTGTTTGGCTTTTATCCACTAAATCCACAACTTCATGTTGGTATAAAAACTTATCCGTGTTATTTAGCCATGCTAGTGAGAACAAAGAAAAATTTGAATCTAACTCGTCAAGACAAGAATAATCCCTATGATCGATATAACGCCAGGACAGATTAGCCTTTATTGTTGTGTTATTGCTTAATGACCAGAAAATACATTCTGTGGTGTGCTATGGAAAAAAAACACATCTTTTTAATAGAATAATGTGTGTAAAGCAAATATTATAATTAGAGGTTTTTCTTACTCACCTACATGCACTAAATTGATCAACAAAAACACTGACTGAGGACTCGACGTGTGTAGTATATTCTATTTTAGTCAAAAGTCGTTCGTGTTTGTTGATAGTAAAGTTTAGAATGAAATAAACATATGTTTATATTTATTTGACAAAGGTTAATAATTTTTTCCCTAGTTACAAATACCAACAGCAAGCTATTTCCATGGGATAAAATCATTAGTCGTTTTAGGTGCATGAGAACGCCGATCTAATAATAATATAAAACAAGTTGTTGATAGATAATCGCTGCGAGACATTCGAATCACATACAAACCTAATTTATAAGATCAATCATGCATGTACATATAAAATAAACACACGCATTTATATACATTCTACACACAGACATAGACACTTAATCCCGACACACATGAATTCACACATTATACAAACACACGGACGCATGCACGGACATGACACACAAGCAACAACACAGCAACTCATACATACCTCACCCTCACACACATAACTCACCAAGACAATTAACCCACACAGCAACCACAGATAAGGGACCGTTCACCTCAGATAGGTCTACCCACCCTCATAACCCACCAGCATACACCCCTCACAAGCCCCACCCTCATACTTAACCCACACCACAGCCGCTAAACCTAGTCTTCTCAGACACACTACCGACACTCCACCCACACTTTCCACACCCCCACCTCACTCCTCCCGCCAAGCCCACTCCACCCACACATCCCAACCACCCCACCCACTCACATACTTCACACCCCACCTCACTCCTCCCGACAAGCCCACTCCACCCACACACCCCAACCACCCCCACCCACTCACATACTTCACATCCCCAATTCACTCCTCCCGCCAAGCCCACTCCACCCACACACCCCAACCACCCCCACCCACTCCCATACTTCACACCCCCACCTCACTCCTCCCGACAAGCCCACTCCACCCACACACCCCAACCACCCCACCCACTCATATACTTCACACCCCACCTCACTCCTCCCGACAAGCCACTCCATCCACACCCCCAACCATACTACACCCACCCCTATTCACCCACCCACACCCCCAACCATAGTACACCCACCCCTATTCACCCACCCACACCCCAACCACCCCTATCCCCCCCCCCCCAACCACACCGAATTATTCATGAGGCCGG